TAGAGTTCATCTCTAACAACGCAATTATGACATACTTACTCTCTTGTCCACCACTTGACTCTTATATTGCTTACTAACTTGCCCGTCAAAGAGTCTTTGACCAACATAGCCTTTGTCTTTGGCTAGCTCATAGTTGTTTGTTCTTTTATAGGTTACTTGGATTTATGCATCTCAACCTCCTATGACGGTTGATGAATTTGGTTCCAAACATAGGCCTTTGAGCTTGAGAATGTGATAGTTGGGAAGACCTTGGACCTTGTAAAAGTGAAACTGATGGATGAGAAGTCGTTGAACCTTGTGAACTAGAAGTTTGAGATTGCCTTGAAGCTTGTTGTTGTGGTTGTGGATTAAGGGTCATTGTGGGATTACTCTATGTTTTTAAAAACTGCTTTTGATGTGCTTTAAGAATAATCAGCTGCAAAATATAGTTGTTGAGTGTTTGATAAACTGTATTTCTATTAAAGTTATGAGTATGAAAATCAGTATAAAAGCGTTTGGTAAATTTTAATGTAGAAGTGATATAATTGTATATAATGATGAACATGGACATGATTTTGTGGGCAATTATAACAACAACGATGGTGATGACAATGGTGGTGGTGGTGCCAATAAAAGAGTATGTTGGTTAGGCTGCAAAGATGACAATATTGGTAATGCGACGACACTGGCGACATTGGCAATTGTGGTTGTAGTAGCAATCGTGGTGGTTATGTTTATGGTGGTGAGGTGGTGGCGGCAACGACAACAATGATAGTGACAATTATGGTTGTGGTGGCGGGTACGGTTGTGGTAGTGGTTGTAGTTGTGGTGGGGGTGATACAATTGTGGTGTGGTAGTGGTGGCAATAATGGTGGTGGTATTGGCAATGATGGTGTAAAAGATTTAGGTTTGTAGTGGTGATCACTTTGTTTTCCAAGGGTAATACTAGGGGTGGATTATTTTGCCAATTTACTGGGTCAACCAAAATGCCAACTGTACCGTGATGATTTTGTGCACAATTTTTTTGTGCCAATCGATAATGGCATGATATTGTACAAACCCAAAATTTTATGGTACGATACTAGTGTTCAATACCATTACCAATGATATTATCGTACTGTCAGAAAAATATAAATTATATAATAATATTATTTATATCCATATATAAATAATATATATAATATTTCAGTAATATTAAATGGTATTTAACTTTAATTCTTGTACTAAATGCTACTAATATGTTTTCTTTGTTTGTAATGTAGGTTTGACACAAACTCAACCTCAATCTTCTATAAGTTCAATGCTTACTCCAAATGCTTCTACATCTAAAACTTGAAAAATTGATTAATGAATATTTATTTTTTGAAGTTTAGATCCACTTCCAATTGTTATTTGGTTTGAAATTTTAACTTCTATTTGGATTATAAACCTAACTTCGATTTGATTTAGTTTGTAACTTTTATTTGGATTGTAACCTTAATTTTCATCATGAATCTTGATGCATCATTTGATTTATTATATATATATATATGTGTGAATTGTGAATGATTGATGACGTTAGACTACAGTATATGTGATGAAGGCGCAAAAAATGTCTTGCCCTTGAATTGGGTTAAAAAAAAAAAAAAAAAGGTTTTGACCTAAAAAAGTGGTCCTGGCAGGCAATTAGTATTACTAGACCATGCCAACTGAATTATTTGGCATACTGAAACTTATTACATCTAAAGTTTGATACGGTAATGGTAATATATTTTGCCAAACTAAAAATTTGGCACGGTAATTGGTATTGGGGGGGGGGGGTTTGGTAACCATACTGAAACCCAGCCCTAAATTAAATGTGTTTAGAAGGATAAATAATGTTATTTTTTTAAAATTAACGAGTTAAAGATATTCATTAAAAGCTTAGCCTTGTTTTTAAAGTATCTTTTAAAAACAACCACATGCTACTTTTAAAAACTATTATTTGGAGATCATTACTTTTATTTTTACTAAACATTTTTTTGTTGCTTAACTTGAAAGTGAAACAACTTTTGATAAAAAAAAGAAGTACCAACGTGGGCCTACAAGTATTAAATTAAATTTTTTTATATTATGTGGTACAGTTCGGCTTCAGAGATAATATGTTGAAACCAAATCGTTTTTTTTGAACTTGCAGTTTGGTTCAAACCGAAACCTTTTCAGAATTGCAAAATTAAACTGTTTAGTGCAGTCCAATTTAGTCCATACTAGATATTGCTTCCCGTGCAATGCTGCGAGATTAAAAATTGTAAGAGATTATGTTTGAAAAATCTAAAAAATTGAGTCATAGAAGTTTAACATTATTTACATTGAAATCATTAGGAAGATTTTTTTCATACAAAAGATTTAATCAATACAGTCCACATACAAAAAATCTTAGAACTCTTGGCTTATCTAAATTACAAAAAACAAAAAAAAAGATCTGGACCATCCAATTGATTATGGTTTTTGATCGATAGCAGAACTTATATACAAAAGATTACGAAACGTTGGGTTATTTACATGCAAAAAATATTAGGGAATGTTGTTTCATTTATATTGAGAAAATATGACCGAAATTGTTCACTGGAGCACCAAAAGTTTCCCTCCAGTACTCTTGATTGTCAAGAAGCCTAGGCAAAGAAATAAAATGAAATTACATGCAATTATTTTATACTAACAGATTTAATAGGCTCTTATTTAGATCAGTGCAATCTAATATTTAGTTAGTAGATGATGTTAAATATTTTGGAGGTGTGAATATTGAGATCTACGTTATTACTAAACAAACAATCTAAAAACCAAGTTAACACTCATGGATTTATCCACTGTATTCTCAAGAGTACCTAATTCACTTCTTCATTCTACCTAACATGTATAACACTTTACACTTCACATGGAGCCTAAGAAATGGTAGAAATCAAACATTAATTTTGAAAGCCTTAACTAATACAAATTAGAAGACATGACATTAAATTAATTGGTAGATTGAAGCCTAACGAGGTTGAGAGTGAAGCTTGTTATGTGCAAAAAGTCATAGAAGGTACGACTCTAAACACTCGAGTTAGAAGGGATCTCTATGAACAATGAATAGGTAAGGAAAACACTGGCAGAAACGCTTAAAAGAATTAATCTAGTATCATTTACATGAAAGGGAAAATAATTGAAAAAGCTTACTGCTACTGCTTTTCTCATCCAAACTAAAGGCATAGCAAGATTGCATTCTTTCAGTGATGTTAGTTTTTAGCTCCAATAGAAATGAAAATTTGAATACAATTGGATGATTAAAATTGTTTTTCTAACCTTCTTCATAGCCCTGAAATTATACAATTATTATTCTTTTCCCTAATAGTTCTCATTTACACCTTTCCCGGAATTATACAACTAATGTTTTTTTCCCTAATAGTCCGCATTTGTAACTTGGGCATATCAATTAAAGTAATTAAAATTATCCATATGCCAAACAAACCTAGCTAAAGAGCTCATTTTACAGTAATATAAGTGTACCAACATCAACAAAAACACTATAAAACAATAGTGGAGCATAATTGAGAAATTCTTAACTATAATAACTATGAAATGACAATATGCATAGGTTCATATTAGATAATTTGAACATATTAAAAGATGATTCAAGTTAAAATCTGCAACATAAATATTTGTTTAATTAGAACATGAATCAAAGCTAATTGTTGCGATTCATGTTTGGATATAATCTTTTGTGATAAGATAATAATATAATCTTTATAGGAATTATATTCAATTCAAATGATCTATGAATTTGCAAAAACATAACAAAAGATGATAACATTTAATATCTTATTATGCTTATTAAATTAACTAAATAATAGTATGAACTCTATCGATTTACTTGGTAACCATTTGGTTCTCACATGCAAAATAAAACAGGCAACATGGCCAATCATGGTTTAGATATTAACTCAAAGCTTAGAATAATATGGACTATATATAGAACACAAAAAAGATATATATATATATATGTATGTATGTATGTATGTGTGTGCGTGTGTGTGTGTGTCACACACACATATAGGGAAAAAAGAGATGAAAATATACATATCTTTAGCAATCTTTGAAGAAGCTATAAGTTTTGCCTACATCTTTAGGTCGATCCTTGATTTAGAAGAACAAAGTCGATGTCAATCTTATGTAGGCTAGGAGGAAGGGCTAGCACCCAAATTTTAAAGGAGATATAGCAATTCCACTTTGTAGCCGGTTAGTTTTTTTCAATTTATCTTTGCTTTAATAAAGCCTCTAAAGGTATGTTTAAGGATTGTAGTTCACCCTGTAATCTTAATTGGGGGATGGAATCGAAAGTGTTGAGAGTGGTAGAGGGGTTTAGGTGTCCGATTTGAAGCCAAAGCAAGAAAAATGGAAGCAAACAATGAGCATGCGGAAGCAAACTTCCTGCAATTCAAAAAACCCAGATGAAAAACCGAAAACAGTTTGCATGGGATATTCAGAGATGAATCCATACCTTGAGTACTTGATGATTAGTCGTACATGGTCCGAGAAAGAAGCAGTGCTTGCAGAGATCTTTGGTGAAAAAATTGAAGATGGACCATACCATTGAACAAAGAAAACCCACATTTTAAAAATTAAAATCACAAAAATTTGAACAAAGAAAAGAGAACCCAAAAACCAAACCCGAAACAAATATGTCAGACAAGCATTCATGCAAAGGCAATTTGATCACAAATTAAAAAAAAAAAAAATGGTGTGAGAGAGAGATGACCCTTCTTGCGGAGGCCAGGGGGTTCGGGTCTTGAGAGACTTCTTGCCTTCCATGATGAGCAACACGTGTATAGGAGGGGCAAATAAGTAAATCTATACTTCAATACACGTTAAAAAGCTCAGAATGAGTACCAAATAAAGGGCAAAATCGTCAAATCACTGTTTATGAACATTGAAAAACAGTACTAAGCCAACTGAGTTTTAGTATATGTATAATTTCGATTTCGGTTTTGAGTTCCAACTTTCAAATGTCCACCCCTTCTCCATAAGTATAGATACGAAAATAATCGTTTTGGTAAATGGTAGTAAACAAACGAAGAGACGACGCCGTATCGACTGAATAGAGAAAAAGCGTTGCAGGCGGCTGCTCTTCTCCCTCGGCGAGGCACGCGCCTCTGCAACTCCTTGCGCAGAGCTCAGTGAAATACAGGTCAGATTTCTCCAGAAATTCAGGCCTTTTCACTACGATTTTCCCGATATTTCAGGTTATTGGCGATATTAGGTTTGATAATTCAGACTATCGGCGATGGAGGGTGAAGAAATAGGCTTCACCCCCTTTCCATGTCGATCCCTCAAATTCTCGATATATCGCCGAAATTGCCCATTTTTAGTACTACCGTAGTGAATCGTTCACTATTATGTTCGAATCATTGTGCATTTTCCTTTTCGCCAAAAAATTTGCATGCAAGTCAGAAATGCTCATGTCGCAGGTATATTGTTTTTGACGGATCATCATGGGCATGAATCGCCTACCTTTTGAAGCTGGCCAAGAGGTTGAATGCAGGTCGTTTATCCCGGGTTATCGCGGTGCGTGGTTCCGTTGTAAGGTAACGATCACAGTTAATAGTACTGGCAAATATCCATTGGTGATCAATTTTGTTTTGCTCCAAGCGTGTTTTGAACTCGAAGATTTTACTTCTTACAATTATGATTACTAGTTTTCGGTTTCTAGTATTCGTCTCTTCATTTTCAGTGTTGATAGTTGTAAAATAATATTAGGAAGTGGGAATGCTAAGAAGTTAATTAGGAGTATGGAAAGAGTCATCCATGTTTTTTCGTAAACATTAAGTAGATTGTAACGGGACAAAACTGCAGTTTTGAAGATTGAATTTTGACAAGTTATGGCCTTTTACCAAAGTATTGGTTGTTGTATTAGTATATCACGCCTTTTCAGATTCGGAGTTAAAAAATCTTGGTACTATTTGTCAACTAGATAAGATCGTTGGTAGGCAAAGGAACCAACACAAACATATGACCAACATGTTCTAGATAGATTCCTGCAACGACAACTATTGGCAGAGATTTCAAGAACCGCAATTTAAGGTGGAGATACCAGAATTTAGTGGAGAATAACTAGGGGAAGTTGGTTGGTTAAATAAACATGAAGGAAATTTTAAATACATTGTTCTTCCATGTCATGCGAATGAGAAGTTGGTAGCATTTTAGTTGAAAGGGTATGCTTCTCGTTGGTGGCAGCAAGTCCAAATGACTAAGACCCAAGTAGGAAACTAGCAAATATATACGTGGTCTAAGATGTATAGGGTTCCATAAGAATTATTGTTTTTTTGGGTTAAGTATATTGAATCTTTTCCTGATTTATCCTTAAGATCAAAGCTCGAACAACATAGGAAGTCTGATTAGTTCTCAACTATATATGAGAGGGGCTCGTTTATTTTCTGTTTAACATCATACACGGAGAAGTTGCTGACCATTTAGGTAATTAAAGGCCTCATTCTTTGCTTAGGCATTTGCTTTCTCATTAGAAAAGATTCTGATGTTGGAAAGTTTTATTAAACAAGGATTATTCCTTATGAATGAGTGCTGAATGTGTTGCAAGCAAATGAATGTGTGACTGGTCGTTTTCTACACTATACGTTTTCATACGCTTGTTGGCCTCCTGCTTTCTTTCTCTGTGAACTCTTGAGTGTTGCATGCTCTGTGGCCTAGAGTCTGGTGGGATGGCATGGTATTTTTTTCAAGAAGGCTAGCAGAGCAGCTGGGGGATACTACTCGTATTTTATGGTCTATATTTTGGATAAATGCAGGGTATCCCCCACACGTAGGCGAGGACTAATCCCTCGAGCAGGGTTGGATCCCATTCGGGGGGCAAGCTCTCCCAATGCTGGCTTCTCCATTCACAAGGCTCGAACTTGAGACCTTGCTTAAGGGAAACAAGCTCCTTACCACTTGAACCACCAAGCATTGGTATTTTATGGTCTATATTCATTATCAGAGAGAAATGGTAGTTTATTTGAGGGGCAGGTATAAATTGGGATAATAGGGAGGAGGATTAGTTGAGTTCACTGCAGTATAGATTTGTATTCTTTGCTCACTTTGGGCTTTACTCTATAAAGATTTTAATGTTGTACCTTAGTCAGATCTATCTGGATCGATTTGCTACTTGCTAAGTGTTGTCAAGGATAGTTAAGATTTGGGTGTGTGTTTGTTTTTTAGCTGTAATACTGTTGATGGAAGTTGAATCCATCTTGTTATGTATTTCTTTCTTCTTCAATAAAAGTGGTGTTTATTATAACTTTGTAAGTTGAAGAGAATTATTATGGTTGGTATTTTTTCCCCGTTTCTTTAAGATTTTTTTTTCTTTTTATGTAGATTTTGTGTTGTTTTTACTTAAGCCTTCTATGCTTCCTTGCATATTTTTATTTTCATGAAATCTGTACGTCTTCCAGTAATGAAGAACTGATTACTTTGCAATGTTAGGTAGCATTTTTGCAATTACAACTAAGCCTTTAGATCTATGTGTTGCATGATTTACTTTTCTCAACCTTGAATTATTCTACGTATACAGAGTTAGGTTTTACCAATACTACCATCAATCTTCTCTTACTTCTCATACCATTAGATGCTCTGCTGAAACAATTGGGTGTATGATGTAACTTCCAATGACTTATGGTTTAAGGTGTCCATCTGCTTTTATAAAGCCCATATTTGCATTTATATGATGTTTTCAGCTTGAGATTGTTTCCATACATTTGGTTGAGGTTGGTTCCATTGTTTATGCTTGGTATAAAAATCTTTGAGAAAATGATACCATGCTCTCTGATAATATTTTTATTATATTCCAGATAAAGGAATACGGCTTGAGACAAGCTCGGTTGTCGTCTAGCATGGAGTATATTGACTTTCCTGATGAAAGTAAGTGATATCTGTGGGTATGTTTCCTGTATGAGCATTTTTTGGGGCTTAAGTTTGAAGGAACCGTAAAACCAATTGGCAACAGGGGGAGTGACCCTACTCCTTATAAACACATGCAAGGTCCGTTAACTTTCTGATTTGGGACAACACTTCACATACTTACACGCGCCTTCACGTGTGTCAACACTTAAGCCAAACACATGTATGAGGGGCTTAAGTTTGAAGGAACCCTAAAACCAATTGGCAACAGGAGGAGTGACGCAACTCCTTGTAAACACATGCAAGGTCTGTTAGCTTTCTGATGTGGGACAACACTTCACACTCACACGTGCCTTCACGTGTGGCAACACTCAAGCCAAACACATGGATAACACATATTGGGTGATGTGGAGCATGTGCAGCCTTTGAGCTTTATGCGGATATGTGGACCTATCTGCTTCAATACCATGAATGAGAAATCAGAAAACCTTCATTGTAGAAAGCACGAGCAAGCAACAACAAGAATCAGAATTTCATTACTAGTAAAATGATTACATAAAACATCTCCGTACTGTAGTGATCATATTTATACTCAATGATTAATACAGCTGACTTAATCTTCAACTAAATGGACTATTTAATCATTAGCTTAATTACAACTTAGTAATTAATACTGGACAGCTCAAATAGAGCCCTCGATCACATCAAAGACCATAGACCACATCAACATATTAATGCTAAATGTGGCAATATCATCAGCTAGCTCCGGTATTAAAGTTCACTATGTTTTGGGTCGTGGTGTCTCAAACAGTTTTGGTTGGCAGTATAAATAACAGACTCTTATTCTCTTTTGTTCTATGTTTGTTGTGTTTATTAATTGACCTGTTCTTTTCTAAAGAAAAAAATATTAATAGACCTGTACATTATCAAGTGCACTTTGATTGTAGGGCATGTAAGAATTGCACATTGACCAATTCTTTTAAAAAAAGTATTTTAAAGTAATTACTATGTAAGAATGCTCATACCAGAACAACATGGTATGTGAAATGCATGTATGATTCCTCGTTACGAGAGTGTGCTACTTTTATTGTTACTTGTTTTGAATGGAAAACAAAGAGAGAATATTACCAAGAGCACTGGTAGTCATTGCCTAGTTTCTATATATATCTCTGAAGAATTATTTTCCTCTTGGTTATCAAGTTTAATAAATATTTTAGTGAGACTGATGTTTTTTATTTCTGCATATTGTTGCTCTTATCTGCAGAAGTGAAGTGGACAAGAGTATATCAAAAAATCCCTGGTGTTGGTAAGAAGTCAAAGTCATTAAAAGTGCAATTGATGTTGCGTCCTCAGTTTCCTCCCATCTATAATAGAAGTACAATACCTGATGCCAATACCAGAGCAGAAGTGGTGGTTATTGTCAACGATGATTGGAAAGTGGGAGATTTAGTTGATTGGTGGAAGGATGGTTGTTATTGGTCTGGAAGAATAACAGAAATATTGGGGAATGAGAGCTTTAAGGTGGGTTTTGTATCTCTCAACATATTAATGCTTACTCTAGTATGCTTGTTCTCAATGTGTTCATTGTATGAGGCGTTAAGCATTCCCCCCCCTTCAAATTGCTCACTGTTAATAAATGTTATAACTCCAATAATCACATGCCCTATTTTATGACCTCTCATTCTTCATAACAAATCCATGCAATACACGATGTTACTTGAGCTCCTGAGTTAACTTACATATAACACTCTTGCATCAGGAGAAAGCAATATGTTTGTTTAGTGCAACTGAGATGTAGCTGCATTTTCTTGCTTCAATTATAGTTACTTTGATGTGAAGAGAGCTTCTATTTACTAATTGGTATTCTCTATGTTTTTCCAGTTTGATTTGCCACCTCCTCCAGATGGTGAAGGATATTCCTATGAAGTTTCTTCCAAGGAATTGCGCCCATCCTTGGATTGGTCTCCAGAGAATGGTTGGACAGTACCCACACCCATGGTACCTGCAGCCCATTCATATTTCTGCATCTTTTTTTTTCCTGTTTAAGAGGAATTATCAGATATTACTGCCAAACTTTAAATTGATTAATAACTGAGTTGAGCTCAATTAGTTGGCTTGCTTAAGCAAGAAATTTGTTGCTTAAGCAGTCATTCCAGCTTCTCCATTTGTTTCAAATACTACCTTCGATCAGCTTGAACTGTCAGAAACTGACAAGGAGCATCCACATTCCCATCACCTGATGATGATGACGTGCCACTTCAGGAAATTGGCATTTAAAAATGAATGCCATGCATGAAATCAATTGTGAAGTTACAAAACTGTTTTCTTTTTGCTGACTACTCTCTCATTGTTAATTTGGTGTTGCACTTTGGGTATTAACCTTCTAGCATTCTTTTGTTGAAAAAAATACGTCAAATTTTTGTTATATTTCTTTTTCATTGGGGTTGAAACAATACCTCATGTCTTTCTAAAAATGAATGCCAGGCCATCATCCTGATTCATGATAAATGCTGCAATCCTTTGGCTAAAAAAGATTCCATTTTGTCACCGATGTTTGTAGTGTTAGGGCAATTTTGTATTGATATTTTAAAGCTACTTCTACCTTGTTTTTAGGTGGTTCTTCTACCATGCAGGTTTTGATGCTTTCTGTCCTAATAAGAAATGAAATTCTGTCCTAAACAATTCTTTTATCCTTCAATTTCTGAATTTTTTTGAAATGCCTTTTTGGTCGCAGGAGGGTGAACATGTGCATCCTTGTGCTCGAGTAATGAAGCCTGGTAATCAATTACGAATACATATTTTCTCAACAACGTATATACATGCATGCATGTTATTATTTTCTATTAGCCTTCTGACCTCAACATCTAGGGCTTGTGACAATTGACTGAGATAAAATAAAATTGGAGCCATTGGAGATGGATACTTGTACATCATGTTATTGAATTTTTTTTTTCTTTGGTAGTACTGTTGGAGGCAATGGTCCATTTCTTTTGCTCCTAATAGATGGATCCTAAGGGAAATGATATTTTCCATAGGACTATGAGGTGGTGATTTGATCTTAGTTATTAACTTATAGCTGGCCAGTTTATAACCTGGTAAATAATTAAACTCCAATTGACGAAGAAAGATTCAAATCAGATAGTACGGCTGGAAACAATTTTGTAATTCGATAGAATACGGTTGCTTCTGGAAACTTCAGTGTTTGCTACAGTCATACATCTTCTCAAGCCTTGTTGGTTTTGGGGATTGTCAATCCTGTTTGAAGGGTTTCAGATGCAACTCAATACGCCTCAAATTGGCAAAAACAGAGCTCCTTTTTGGATGAGCAATAAGAAGTTGATTAGTAAAATAGTAAAGGCTGCTTTGAGAGTTATGAATGCGAAATATATATCCTCAGTATCAAGAAAATAAAGTTGAAAGGATGAGTTGGTAAGGGACTTAATACATAATAAGATTTTGACCTTTTAGTTATCCAAGAGGTAGAACCCATACAGAGATTGTAGTGAAAGCTGTAAGCTATACCAGTCTACCCACAATCGTGGTGTTGTCTTTTTAAGTTACTTGGCCAGCTGTAGTTGAACACTGGATTTGTGCTGTATTAATGTTGTTGTAGGTTATGTAATGTTTTTTCTTTTGACGGTATATGCAATGTTGAACACAAATTATGGGTTCTAAGTATCCAAGGAACGAACATTATACGTTTCTCGGTCCCATTCCCCCACAGTTAAGGCTGATGTGGAGAGGTGAAGTCAGATCTAAGTATGAAGCGTTTGAATAACCAATAAAATGGTGCCATATCAAGTAGTTGTAGAAGAAAAGCAGATCAAGGGCTATAAGAATGTTCTAGTGAAATTTTGGTTAGTTATCCATGATTTTGAAGAAGATGAAGGGTACATATAATGTTACCCTAACTTCCTCTCTTGAATCTTGTCTTTCATTTCTCTGTCCAGCAGGATGGATCTGATTGAGAGGGGATTATTGTTGTTGCAGGGGAAGTTCCAAGCTGTACAGCCCATGCTGTGGGTGATGAAAGTAGGTGTCTCCAAGCTTTTGCTACAGCATCACATCGTTCACCTTCTTCTCACGTGTCTGCTAGCTCATTGCAACCTCCTAAAGGATTAGAGGAAATGGCAAAGCAACCTCTAGGCACTATAAAAACTACGGAGAAGCCACCACCAGATGTAAATGTTGGATCCGATATGGCAGATAGTGGGATTGCGAAGGCAAGTTGCTCAGATAGTGTTTCAAGTTCGCATGTTAAAAGTGAGCCAAAGGGGATGCAAAGAAGTGCAACCGGAGAAGATAGAGTTGACAACAATGTGTCGTTGAAGAAAATGAAAACGGATGGGAACATAGTTTTAAATTCGACGAAGTCTGATACATTAGAAGCTGCAATTCTGGACTTGGAGGAACTTGTAAGCCGGGTTAAATGGATGAAGGGCGTCTTAGAGATTGGAATGCCTTTGACAAGTGCCACGCGCCCCACTTGGAAGTTTCTGTGACATCATCCTTGTCCTCGCCAAAACGAGAGGTTTCCCTCCCAGTAAGTGTACCTATCGTGAAATTTTTTTACCGGCGTTTAAATTGTTACTAACTCATGCTCATCTGTTTTGACTGTTTTCTTTTTACGAACTTCTTTTGGGGTGAATGTGAAGCACATATTGAAAGGAATGAACTTTATGCATAACTTTCCGTACAAAACAAACACTTCTTGTAGTGACTGTACATAATCTTCTTACAAGAATGGTTTTGTGAATTTCCGATTTTGAATTGGGAGAGCGGCAGAAGCTGATTGAGATGGGGTGGAGGTTTTTTTGGCCCTAGAAGCGGGATTCCGGCTCAATGGTTTGGCCTAACTAGCTTGTTGTCATGACCATAGAAAATTTCTACACATCCAGCGTCTGCTAGACCTCTTAACAAAGTCATCAAAATTTAACTTCCGACTGCCGTTGTCCGGTGGTTACCACAAACTTTTTTTTTTTTTTGCTTATCTTTAGCCACACCCATAGAACTTGATTTGGATGGCTCTACAATTGAAAAGACTCATCACTTTACTTCTTGAAACTTAAAATTCGTTTACTATGACTTATGGACTCTATTCTTCTTGAAATTCAAAAATCGCCAAACATGTGTGACCCACCACCTAATAAGGTTATGCTACATGTGCTAATGAATTTGATTATAAATCTCTACTATGCGTTAACATTTAACAATTAAGTTTAAAATAATAAAATAAGAATGTGGCTGTGCTTGAGTCGCAAAGATGGAAAATAATAGAAAAAAAAAAATTGATTAGTCTGTTGCTTTCAAATCCAACTCACAGGTTAGAATTAAAGTAGGGTATAACAAATTTTGAGTTTTATAGAGTAAATTACGATTTTTGAGTTTCAAGGGCAAAATGAGATCAAAATTGAGTTTCAAGAGACAAAATAAAACAAATTTTGAGTTTCAAAAAGTGAAGTTTCGACTTTTGAATTTGGCAAAGTAAGATCCAAATCGAATTCTAGAACGTAGCTATGAATTTTGTTACATTTATATCTATGTTGTGAGGACAAAAAAGGAATTTAGCTTTGGATCATAAATTTGCGGAAGAGAGAGAGAAAAACCTCAAAATATTTGAAAGCATTTCTGCGTGCCTGTATTTCACTCTAAAAAGCATTTCAAAAACTCAACTTTTCCCTCCTTTCTTCTCTGCCAAAAATGGAGCCTTCAGCTCTCAAACTGGTAATGGTTCAAGGTCCGCGGAAGGGCGAAACCCTAGAATTCGTACCCGGATCCAAGGTCCGAATCGGCCGCGTTGTTCGGGGCAACAACCTCCCGATCAAAGACTCCGGCATTTCCTCCAAGCACCTCTCCATCGAATCTGAATCAGGCAAATGGGTTCTCCGAGACCTCGACTCCTCAAACGGCACTGTTTTGAATGGGTCGGATATTCCCCCAAATACGCCCGTGGATCTCACCGACGGCGACGAAATCAAAATCGGTGAGTACACTTCCGTCGAGGTGAAGATCGCCGGCTACGAAGAGACCCGGCTGAGACGGAACCCTAGGCGTGCGGCGGCCGCAGCGGAAGCTACTGCGGTGCCGGTTTCGGAGAGTCGGGGACGGAGAGGTAGGGTTGCGAAGGAGGGCGAGGAGAAAGCGGAGGTGGAGAGAGCGAATGTTGAGGAAATTGAGGTCGCAGGGAAACGAGGGAGGGGCCGACCGCCCAGAGCTAGGGTTTTGAAGAGTGAAGCTGCGGAGGAGAAGACTGCGGAGGAAAACTTGGCACGGCAGGTGAGTACGAGGCAAACTCGGAGCTCCAGGATTGAGGAATTGGGGAAGATTCCAGAGAACTCTGGTGTAGATAGTGAAGGAGTGAACGTTGAGCCGAAAAGGACCCATGTCGGTGCAAGGAGGAGGAAAAATGTACCGGAGGAGGTACCGGTGTGTGATAAGCTTGATGTTAAGGAGGAAGAGGCTTCGAAAGGGCTGAATTTGGAGGAAGAGAGACATGAAGAGGCAGATAGAGAGTTTAATGTTAGAGGAGAGAGTGGCGAAAAGGGTAAATATGGAAGTGGGAGTGGTGAAAAGGGTGAGAAAGGAAGTGGAAGTGGTGAAATCGGTGTCAATGGAAGTGGGAGTGGTTCGGGTGTAAATGAGAGCTGTGACTCGGAGAAGATGACGCTTGGGGAGTGGTTTGATTATTTGGAGAGGAATTTTCCACAACAGATCATTGATGAGACGGAGGAGGCAATTGCGGAAATGGCAGAGAAAGCTAAGCGAATTCAGGAGTACATTGTGCAGGAGAAGGAGAAGGCGAAAGTGCTTGTGGGCTACAAGGGGGGAGCTGGGACTTGTGTTTTCTGGTAATTTGCAGCTCAATTCTTCTTCTTTTTTTTGTAAATTACGTGGCGTATCAAATTTGTGTTGTTTGGTTTTGTTTTATTGTGTTTACGTGATCTCTTACTGTGATAAAGTTACCTGGTCTTCAATTTGAAGTGTTGGATGTGAAATTGAAGTTGAATCCATTGAATCTTTAATATGGGACGAGATGAAACTATGTTTATTTCTGTTGTGAGCATCGTTCATATTGAGAGGGCTGGAATAGCATTAGCACTTTCATCGAGTGTTCTGCATACCACATTATATATTGATAGCAAAATCAAGAATTTTCATGTTTTGGGTACGTTGGTTGTGTGTTGAACTCGTCTGCTTGATGTCAGCTTTTGCAAATCGTGTGTTACTGACAGGGAGTTCATAGATGTTACTATATCAAAGCAGTTGCTTCTGTTAACTTATCCGAAGAAAAAGGCGAGACTGTATATGATGCGCTTCATTCTCTGTCAATTGCTTGTGTGTCTATGTTCATCGTGTGAGGAAAGAAATAACTGGGTTCCTTATCCCCAGAGAACTCTCTCCAAGTAGGGCCTTTAGCCATGTAAGGGAGGTGATGAGGTCTCAAACATCTCTCCCCGGTCCCTCCCATTGAGTCCCATCCATTGAGTTTAGCTGTTTAGCTTGGCAAGGCAACCAATTTATGCACTTCTCCTTTAGCGGCCTGCTTCTACATGTTTTGTTATAAATTCGTAGCTTTCAAAACAATGAGTCTTGGCTGACTGGTAGCTATTGAGAAATACGTACAAGAGGCTATGGATACACTTCTTGATAATGGAATTTGTGGACGACTATGAGGGACGATCATAAATCATAGTAAGGTTTTGTGAGACTGCTTGATAATGGGATCCGCGGACAAATCGTTTTCAGATGTAATTGAAGGTTTTGTGAGACTGCTTGATTATACTGGGCGTACTGTCATTGGTGTAGGTCCCTCATTGTCGTATATATCTATGGAGGTGAATTGTCTGCCCTTCCATTTCCATACTCTTCCTATGCCCTCCTGTGATGTGTGGTCACGGTTAAGCCATTATGTTCTAGTGAAACGGATTCTTCGATATGTCCAAGGTACTATCAATTGTGGTCTTACATATTCTGCATCCTTAGATCAGTCTATTACTGCATTCTCTGATTTAGACTTGGCAGCCGATCCTAACACTAGAAAAGTTAAGTTTTAAAGAGTTGTCTTGTGAAAGGTTCAATGGTGAGGCATTGAGAGCGACTTTAGGACGAGGCATGTGATTGTTTACTGCTCTCTGTTTTTTTTAGGGTTTTCCTATTGCAGTTAGGGGTAATTTTTTTACTTAAGCATAATTAGGATTAGGTTGTAAACACAAAAATTCTATAACGCATGAAACGAGAACACGTGTACAAAATAGATTTGTATTGATGAATTTGTAGGGTTACAATCTTTGTTTACAATTTTCCTCTGATTCAGTCTTTAAATTTGATGTAGATGCATAGGTTGTTGATCCAAGGGTCGCGATGACTTGATCTTGGATGAACGATTGAACAATTGCTTCAAGTTTTGAGCTTGAAACAATGCGTAGATAGTCTTCACCTCAAAGCTGCGGCAAAGGTAATGTTGATGTAGGATTTCGTTGGCTCAAGGGTCTTGACGACTTGATCTTGAATCGAATGTCGTTACAAGTTTTAAGCATGCAACAAAAGTCTTGAAGGAATCGGTGCTTGTTGATTCTTCAAGGGAATGCTTTGGTTTTGGTCGAAAGAAAGGTTCGGCTTTGGTTGTGCGTTCTTTGAAGAGAGCTTCGGCAGTGTATTAGTCTTCAAAGTTTTGGCAGAGGTTCTTCTCAATGTGAGAATTTCGGCCTTGGAATATAGAAATTGTCGACCTTATGCTTGTCTTGGGACCTTGTATTTATAGACTTCCAAAGCCATGCCTTTGGGTGGATTTGCCTTTGATTTGTGTCTTGATTTGTCCATGAGAGAATTTAGGCATGTTTTGTGTCTTGTTTTCAGCCACTTTCCCTTGCTTGGCTGAAATCTATAGGGCTTTCTTGCCTATTTTGCGAGCAATCTTCAATTCTTGCTTGTTTTGTGAAGATATTTTAGCTTTCTTTCCGGTTTTGGGAGCAATTTGGACCCCTTGCCAATTTTAAGGGGTATTTCCCCTTTTTGGCCGATTTTTGGGAATGTTTTTGAGCTTTCTTTGCTTGACTTGTGTCACATGTCATTGTTGACTTGTTCATTTGTGATGAGTCATATGCCACATGAAACTTTATGATGCATCATTTGCATGCAACAAAATTTACATGTCTACATGGGTACTATTTGTTAAGATAATACGGTTGGTCAGTTTAGTAGTTTGCCATCTCAGCATTTTCTTGGGAACAAAGGCATTTGATAATCTTAACAATTTTCTTTTTCTATTTGAACCAAAAAAAAAAAAAATCTATTTCTCAAAAACAATCTTGACCATAATTTATTTTGTGATGCAAATCTTTGGAGTGTTGGATACTAAGGCATCAAGAGTAGAGTCTTAGCATCATTGGGTGAGCTGATCAAAGTTGTGATTAAATTTTGTTTCACCCATATTTTAAGTTTGATCTCACATTTTTCAGTAACAAAAAAATTATATTGGAGCTGGTATAAAGTACCTTGAAAAGTGAGTAGTGGTCAAAAGTATTACTATGAATTAGTGGTGGATGCACGTTGGGACCAAGGTGGTCCCAAGACCACCTAGAGTCCGAAAAATATACATGTGAAGGTTTTCCGAGAACTCTTCGAATGTTTGGTATAGGTCCCTTTTGTGCCCAGCAAGTATTTGATGTAATGTATGCTAAGCATATTTCGGCAACACTTAGTAGGTTGCATCAAATGCACTCGACAAATTCTCTCGATAGCATTCATTAGATTGCTTTGGCGTATGTCGATATATGTTGACATGTGTGCAACATGGTTCAGCTGACAACAATTGTTCGAAGAAATGCCTTAGTGAATAAACTGAATTTTTTTGCGTGGTTCAAATCCTAAATCCGCCACTGTTATGAATTTGAACACCAAGAGAGGTAATGCATCACTAGATTATGAAGACAATGACTAAAACTTAAAACATGTTATCTTCTCTTGCTATATTGAGCATTCAACTTGTTTAAGAAACAAGCCAAGCTTGACTTAGACATACCCAAATCATAAAGCACGTGAGTAGCTCGTTAATAAGAAGCTTGAAAATGTTATACAAGCAGACCCTCTCATTGTTGTAAATTAGCTCGTGTTTGACTTTTATTTTTTACTCCGCTTGAGATCGGCTCAAAAATAAACGAGCCAACCAAGTTGAGCTTTTACAAAATTTTAACAAACCCAACTTAAACATGATGAAATTCACAACATTTATATCCCTAGTTAAATTTGGAGAGGTGATTTTCACACATTCTTTTTATTTTTTTCACACACCCACTTTATTTATGATCGTCATATTGCATAAATTAAATGGAAACAAAAAATAAGACTAAACATAGGTGCAAAAGAAGTTAAAAAAGAGTTTAATTACTAGTTCTTTAAACTTACTAAGGCATCAGGGTGGTTTAGAAAAAGTAGCTCAACATGAGAGGTCCAGAACTATTGTGGACTTGGACTATGGAGATACATGTTCTTACTTATCAATGTTGCAGTCGACAGTTATTGGGCTTAATTTATGGTGAATTTAATGGTGACATTTCTTTCTTCCAAATTATGGCTCCACTCATGCATTAACAAATAATATTACACTAATGAAAAATGGATGGACTTAATCTCGTAATGAGCTAATAATAATGTAATTCAAATTCACCTTTGAGAATCGAACCTAAGACCTCTCACTTACAAGTAAAGAGAAATACCACTAAACCGTAGCATTAAATGGCAAGTAGTAGAATTCTTAGACAAGAAAAAACGGAGTACATCTTTTAGACACCCCTACATTTAATAGTAAAAATGTATGTATATAACGGACACATATATAGGCCATGGCCTTGCTACATGAAATAATAGAACCAAAAAAATAGAAAATTAGGGAAACTAAGGCGGATAGTAGGGTAACAGATAGTGGAATGCTTCCTTTGTCTTTCCTTCAGTTCATTACTATGACATAGAAGGGTATGAAAACTTGTATGAACATCTTGTCCAACTCCCCCACAAAGATCCCTCTAGCAATCCCCACAGCAAACGATGCCATGTTCAAGATGACTAGGGCAACCATTGGAGCAAGAAATAGTAGTGATGTTTGGAAATCAAATACTCCCATATTGTAACGCTTGAGTTGTTCGACGTCGTCGACTTTATTCTTTGGAAAAAAACTGGCTTCTCTCATACCAAGTTTCTCCATGAAAGCATCCACACTACCATGTACGTGGGATGTGACTAACTTCATCATCCACATCCTCTGCTCATTTACCCAATGTCGAAATGTTGACCCCGTTGCGAGCACCTCGTATAAATGTTTAGAATGGGGTGATAGGAATATGAACGAAAATACAATGAAATAAGTTTTGAGACCTGCAAAGAACAAGACCAACATACTGTCATGTCAAAATCATACTACTAAAGTTGTATAACAACTAATTAAGAGGGTAATTCTTTCTTACATACCATACAAATACTTATATCGACAGACTGTGAGTTTGAAATTTTAACCACACATGTGTTCATAATCAGTAAATGGTTCAGTTTCAGTCTTAAGAACATAAAGCAAGTGAACATTTCCCTTGATAGTGAAAGTAATCATATATTTTGAATAATTTAAACAAAAGAATTTTTAAAGAAACTTGTAAAAAAAATATAGGTATAATGAGAGAAAATTACCTAAGGGTATAAAGGAATGCCATTGAGTAGGCAAAGTTGAGGAATGGTAGCAAAGCCCCAGAGCGACAAGAAATAGAAAATGGGGAAAAGGGCAAGTTCTGCATAACACATGCTGTGAAGAAAAGTGGGCGTTTTGAAAGGGCCATATAGAAGAGGACTAAACTTGGAGATAGCAACATCAACCAAGCCAGAGGACCACCTTGTCCATTGGACCAAAAACTCATCCAAATTGGTGGTGCCACTGCCCAAGAATTGTGGCCTTTTTGGATCACAATACACTAAATCCAACCTTTGCAATGCAAATGAAACCCTGTGAAGTAATCTTCCACCACTGAACCGTATAAGAAACCAACCTGCATGCCACAAATAAAAGAAGATCACCATTAGCATAAAGTTGGAGGAATGCTAGGTTCGGTCACCTCCCGAGCGGGTTACTATGAGCGCTTGATACATTGTACCACTAACACGTATTAACTCCTCACAATTGACTAAGCTTGGCATAGTTCCTTATTTCGGAATAAGTAAGGTTTCAATAGATTAATTTTACTCGCCTCTTTACCCCATTTGGTGCCATCTTCATAAGCACAAGAGGCTAGTAGTTGGGTTTCATGTGGCTGTGCAGTATTTCTGTGGATGAGCATATGATCAGGATTGTTGATTTGGCGGAGGGATTTGATGAACTCATTGGATGGACCAAAACATTGTCTAAGTTTCATTGCATCCTGATCATTCAATAGTGAAACTAACTTACTGACCTAAAAAACGTATGAACGCATATTTTACAGACAAGTTCATAATTTTAATATATATGCTTCTTAAACCAAATTAAGGTATTTCATTAAGTGTATTTGTATTTGCCTTTACTAATGGAACTTTCACATAAGGGCACCCTCTTGATGTAGTAGCCAGTACCACACACGCATGGCCCTCCAAGGCTATCATAACCTTTACATAGCACCTATTTATATACAAGTTGTCAAGACCAATTCTAGTCAAAGATTATTATGTGCATTTGTACATATGACTTATAATTGATTAAAGTAAAGTTTGGTCCTTGAGTTCTTATGTACCTTAAGTGTTGATCTCATCTGACTGTCATAGATATCGTTGTTACTGTTGTGAAATTTTTTAGGAAATTGAACAAATGCTAGAAAGGGTGATATCTTGGGGTCAAGGTGGAAACACATTGCTTGCCGAGCCGAACTTGCATCATTGCAATGCATGTCACAATCTAAACCTAATATGTAAGGTGAATTGCTTATGACAGTGATGCTTTATTGAATGGTTTGGGCGGTGTGTTAATGTCGCATGGCAGGGTAATCGCATATGCCTCGTGACAGTTGAAACCTCACGAGATGAATTACCTCGCACACGATCTTGAGCTAGCAGCTATTATTTTTGCCTTGAAGATTTGGAGGCATTATTTGTATGGGGAAAAGTGCAAGTTTTTCATAGATCATAAAAGCCTCAAGTACATTTTCACCCAGAAAGATCTTAACCTTCGATAATGGAGGTGGATAGAATTGCTTAGCGACTATGATTGCATGATTGAGTATCACCCTGGTCGTGAGAACACAGTGGCAGACGCACTTAGTAGGAAATCACGTGGCCGCCTTAATGCCTTATATGCTTTCCATATTCCCCTCCTCACATAATTGAGATCCACCAGAGTGAAATTAGAGTTGGAAGATCGGGAAGAAGGTTTACTTGCTAGTTTTCAGGTTAGACTGATTTTGATAGATCACGTGCCTGAGACTCAAGCAGAGGATCCGGAGTCTTAGAAATTAATAGAGGTAGTGTCACGAGGGAAAAAGAAAGATCTCAGGATCCGAAAACCTAATGGCATGCTTATGCAGGGAGATCGAATGTATATGTCGAATATTGCAGAACTAAAGAAAGAGATACCCGATGAAGCACATATTTCGGCTTATGCGATGCATTTTGGGAGTACCAAGATGTATCACACCATTCGACCTTTCTATTACTGGCCTGGTATAAAGAGAGAAATTGTTGAATATGTGAGTCGATGGGCAATTTTTCAGCAAGTCAAAGCTGAGAGGAAGAAACCTTTTGGATTAATGCAGACATTTCCCGTTCCTCAGTGGAAATGGGAAGATATTACCTTGGACTTTATGAATAAACTTCCTCGTATGCGAAATGGTTACACTGACATTT